GAGTCATCTGCAATTCCAATTATGTCCATAAATGATTCAGAAGGCAAAGTAAAAACCACACAATTAAAAATCTAGGGCCGGCTCCATAGCCTGGTAGTTAAGGAAACTGAATCCCACATGGCCAACTGAGGTTCAAGTCCTGTCCCTGGTGGCTTGAAAACCACACTATGCACATGTATATGCATGCCCCAAATCCTGACAGGATGAGAAACGGAGGAGAAAGGATTGTGGTGTGACCACACCCCATTGGGGGATACTTTTTCCCTCTCCCTCTGTCTGTCTCTACCTCTCTCTGGCGAGCACAGCCATCAGGCAACTATAAGAAAGAAAAAAGAAAGTGAAACCAAATTCCTCATGGTTACTGTGGTTCAAATCTCCAGCCATCAGCCTGAAACATGCTCGGCTTGCACATGTAAGCAAGATTAGATGCAGTGTGACCAGGCTCTCTGGAGAATGCTCACTTCTCTCTTTTGTTCTTTTACTCTCATATACACAGGCACATGCTCTATCGTGAATAAAGAAAAAAGTGTTAAAAAAAAATCTGACGGGAGGGGTTGCAGATGGCATGGTGGTTGAGGGCACCAGACTCCCACATGGTCAACCGAGGTTCGAGTTCCAGATCTGGCAGCTTGCCTTCTTTCTTTCCCGCTCTCTCTCTCGATCTGTCCCTCTTGGTCAAATTAACATAAATAAATAAATAAAATAATTCTTTAAAAAATAAAAATAAAAGGGACCAGCAGTTAGCATAATGGCTATGTCACTGGACTCCCATGTAGTTGACCGCGGTTCACGTCCTCCTGGACCTGGTGGCTTAAATCTCACGTCAGGCGTGTGTATGTGCGTGCCCAAGATCCCGAGAGGAGAATGGAGGAGAAGGGATTGTGGCCATCCCCCCTGGGGGGTGATTTCTTGCTTTCTGTCTCTCTGTCTCTCTCTGTCTGTCTGGCAAGCGCACACACCCTATAGCAAAAACCTCTCCAAAAAATGAAAAATAAAAATAAAAAATTGACAGGACATCAGTTTGACTATAAGACAACATTCCACTAGAAATGGGATTAAAAGATACTGGCTATTTTAGTAACTGTGTTAACGTAGTTATTAACATAGTTGTACATCATATTTCTAGTCTTGCAAAACAAAGCTGACAGACCAGTCTTCCAGAAGGCAACAACACATACCAGACAACTGCACTCATTCACAGTAGAAACCCACAAGCCTGATAATACATATTAGTAGTTGGTTGGCTGGTAGAACAAGTAGGAGATTCATTAAAAATACTATATATACCTAATACTATCCTAAACATGGTACTAATATGTAATTGTATGTATAGTAAATATATATACTAAAAATAGTACTAATACACATTCTAAACATTTCAGATACAAAGTGCACTTATCTGTCAACCTACTGGCATCAGGTAAAACTATTCGCTGAGGGCCAGCAGGTGGCATGGTGGTTAAGGTGCTAGACTCCCACATGGCCAACTGCGGTTCAAGTCCTAGACCTGGCAGCTTGCTTTCTTACTTTCTCTCTCTGGTCAGGTTCAAAAATAATTATAATAAATAAATCATTAAAAAAAATTAAAATGGTGGGCACACGTGCATCCATGCCCAAAATCTCGAGAAGGGACTGTGGTGTGGCCGTCTCCTAAGAGGGTGGGATTTTTTAAAAAAAATACTTCTTTCTTTCTTTATTCATTCATTTCTTCATTTTAACTTGACCAGAGAGAGATACAGAGAGAGAGAGGAAAGTGAGAAAGGAAGCTACCAGATCCAGGACTTGAACCGTGGTCAGCCATGTGGGAGTGTCCAGCACCTTAACCACCATGCCACCTGCTGGTCCAAGGGTGGGACTTTTTACTTTCCCTCTCTCTGTCTCTCTGGCAAGCACATGCCCCTATGACAAAAACCTTAAAACAAAAGAAAACAAAAACCAAAACCTACTCTCTGAAATTATGGGTTGCTCCTCTTCTTTGCCTAAGCCATAGCACAATGTTTTTTTCATAGACATCTATTTTCTTTCTTCAGAAGAGAGCAAGAATTTGTCACTTGCCAAGCAACCTCAACAGACATCTTCCAGATTACTGACATTTCCCCTAATCTCTTACAGTTGTTTTGCCCACACCAAATTTGAAAATACCAAAAAAAAAAAAAAAATCTTTTTAACTCTTATGTCCCCTAATACCCAAACTTTTTCTTTTTTCAAAGAATTACTTATTGATTCATTTATTTTAATTTGACCAAAGAGAGACACATAGAGGGAGTGGGAAAGTGAGAAAGCAAGCCAACGTCAGCCATGTGGGAATGTCCAGAGCCTTAGCCACCACACCACCTGCTGGCCCCTCTTGTCTTTTATTAAAGAGGTTTCCCCCCCCCCAATAGGGCACATGTGGTGACAGAGAGACAGAAAGTGAGAAATAACCACCCCTCATGGGGGAATGGCCATACTGCAATCCCTTCTCCTCCATTCTCCTCTTGGGGTCTCGAGCACACATACACAAGTGCCTGGCGTGAGTTTTAAACCACCAAGTCTGGGACTCAAACAGTGGTTGACTAGGTGGGAGTCCAGTGATGTAACCCTTACACTATCTGCTTGTCCCAGTACTCAGTTTTTCTGTGGAAAATATTTTACATTTCATTGGCTTACGCAGTAGGTTATTTACAAAAAACTACTTTATTGAGTTCACAATTCGGCCAACTGGTAGGAACAAGCCCACTCGCTGCCAGCCCTCAGCACACTGCTTGGGAGGTGAAAGTTGAAGAACTGTTTCCAGTGCCTTTTACAAGGACTGAAAATCCAGTGTCCATGCTGTAGTCCAGCTGCTGTCCTTTGAGTAGTTCCCCAAGAGACTCAGCCTCGGACCTGTCCCCAGCAACTGCCCTTTAATATATTCTCTCCCCCCACCCACCGGTCAGAGCTGTTTCCTAATCTCTTCCATTGCTTTGCCAACACCAATTTTTTTTTTTTGGAGAGATTTTTGCTACAGGGTGCATGCACTCGCCAGAAAGACAGAGACAGAAAGCAAGAAATCATTCCCGCAGGGGGAATGGCCAGGCCACAATCTCTTCTCCTTCATTCTCCTCTAGGGACCTTGGGCACACACGCACACATGCCCGACCTGAGTTTAAGCCACCAGATCTGGGACTCGGACCACAGTCGACTACATGGGAGTCCAGTGACATAGCCATTACGCCAACTGCTGGTTCCAGCCAACACCAAATTTGACAGCACCAACTGAAACCTTTTTGTCACTTTTTTATCATGGGGCACCTTCCAGCAACACTTACTCCCTCTGAATATTTTCCTCCTGTAGAAATCATCTGGACCAAACAAAAACCCCTTAAATAAATCTCACACCAAAGTATACTCCTTCTGTAGTAAACTAACAGAGTCATTGGCTGGGTCACCACCCAGACCTCCTAGGTTTCCAATGACTCCTTCCTCAAAGGTTTTCCCCATCACTGGTCTGTGCTGGACTGGGAAGGGCAAGGGCCCCAGAGGTAGCCAACTTGGGGGTATTGGTACTTACGTTAGACCATTTGTTGCTGTATGTAGTGGCAGCCCGTGTTCAGTGAGCACCCCACATGTACTCCATCTATTCTAAAGATCTCACGTGGGTTATCTCATTTACATTTAATCTCAAACAACCCTACGAGGTCACCTGTTTAACAGATGGTAAGATCGAGGCACAGAGAGATTATGAATTTTGTCAAGGAGACACAAAATTGATGTGGCAGTCACTTGACTCAAGCATCTAGGCCCTGAGCCAGTGTGCCCCACTGCTTTAAACAGGCTCTAAGCAACTGAAAATAACTGTGGGCCAGCAGCACTGAGGTGGGGAGCGTGCCAAACTCAACCACCGCTGGTGTAGGCTGATGGTGTCCTGGAGCTCCCCACGGTGCAGACCAGGGATGAGGAGTGGAGCTGGCGCTCCAGGAACACAAAGGTTCCCTCCCCTCTGCCCCTGCATCTTGTCAGGCAAAGGGAAAGGGGGCAGGAGGAAAGGTAGAGATGCTATGCGGTATGTGCTCCAGTGTCACGTTGTTCTGACACAACCGAGGAATTCATTCTTTCAACAAATAGACAACATGCAAGTAGTATGGACAAAGCCTGGGGGTATACAGGAAAAGGAATGGGCAGTCCTGCCCTCATGAGGGTTCCATTCTAATGGGGGCAGGGGAGGTGGGAAGACCACATAGTGGTGTACACACGGTCAGGTGCTGTTGGAGAAGGAACACCCAGAGGCAGCCAGTATGCATAAGGCTCCCTGAGGAAATAAAGAGAAAGACAGTACTCCCCCTTCCCCCTTAGAAAAGGAAAAATTCTGAGAAATGGCTCTGAAGGCCTGAGGCAGAGCCTGAGGTCCACAACAGAATACTCTTCTGACAACACTGCTCACACGCCCACCCCGTAGTAGGGTGTGGGCTGGGGAGAGCCCTCCTGCTATACTGGTAGAACAGTGGAGGGGGAAAGATGCTGCGACAGGAGTAAGCAGGGCAAGAGAGCCTGGACAGTTTTCTGTCTTGTTTATTTCTTGAGAGAGAGAGAGAGAGAGAGGGAGGGAGGGCGGCACCTTCAATGGTGTCTCAAGCCTCAATCCCTCACCCGGCCTTCCCAGCCAGGCAGGACCTGGGTATGC